AACACAAGTTTTGACAATGAATTCTGGATTTTCTGAGTTTCCAAGCAAAGTGGACATATTCTTTAGAAATAGTGTTTTGCTAAAAGAAACTCCTAAGTCAAAATTAATTTTTCATTTCTAGTATTTTGCTGATAGGTGAAGTAATTTATTTCAATCCTAAAGCCCTCTGTTTCCCAAATCCATGGTAAGTAGATAGGATAGGTGTACACAGAATCTCCACAAAGCAAATGGACTGAATTGTGTCCCCTCAAATTCGTATGTTGAAGTCCTAATCCAACATGATGGTATTTGGGGATGGAGTTTGTGGGAGATAATTAGGTTTAGATGATGTTATGAGGGTGGGGCTCCTGTGATGGCATTACTGCCCTTATAAGAAGAGACACAATACAGAGCTTGCTTTTGCACAAGAAGGTAGCCTTCTGAAAGCCAGGAAGAGAACTCTCGCCAGAATCCACCATGCTGGCACCCTGATCTTGGCCATCCCCACCTCCAGAACTGTGAAAAATAAATTTCTGCTATTGCAGCTACACAGTCCATGGTATTTTGCTACGGCAGCCCATCTGGTATTTTGTTATGGCAAACTAAGACACATGTATATTGAATGAAGCAATGAATGGCCATTGGTTTGGCAATAGTCTAGGCTGAAAATGTGTGATAAGTAACTTCAGAATCATAAAGGATGAGTGGAATATAGGCACTAGTTTTTATCTGGAGTTCTAAAATAGCCTACCTTTGTCCACTTATAACCTCACCTGTCTCAGTTCCACGCTTCCCATGGTGCCAGGCTGTCTCACAAGTGGCATGTGCCATATGTGGCACATTTGACCAGGGCTACAGACAGATGATCCCCTGTCTAAAAATATCCTGTTTCTGTGGTTTGTCAGATGATCATCACATGGAGAAAGCATCCTCTTGTCAACATTTTGGAGTTTGGCTCTTTTAGCAATGTATCTCAAACCTGCCAGAAGTAAAAGGCAGTGGCTGAACTTTTCCTTTTTTTATTTCTTCAAAGATCTTTACACTGAATCTCCTGTAAATAGAAAGTTTTATATAAAGGATATGTCTCTTATGAAGTCAGATAACAGCTATCTTTTGAGTATAGTTTTAAACCAAGAACTGCTCGTGTATAGATAATTTAGATTTAAGAGCATAGTTACACTAGTTTAACATAACACATTATTAAACATATTTAGGAAAAGAAATGATTGTATACTTTCTTGCCCTTGGTATCTAACTTGAAAGAGTTTACAATAAGCATGATGTAACAACTTTTTTCTGTTATTCCAGTCTTTACTCTCTTCTTTCTCACAAAAATTCAAAGTTGAAACACACACACACATATTCAGTAAAATAAGAAATACTTAAAGTGTCATCACTTAATATTTCTAATTCTCACCACCTAATTGGGGAAATGCTGCTTTGTTTCTAGCAATGCGAGCTTGAAGAGAAGAGAAAATGAAAAGATTACTTTCTATCTCTAATCTTGTACTGTGATTAAACACTGTGAGGAGCTTTACCTTGACCTATAAATTCTCTCCTCTGATACAGAAGTCTGTTGCAAGAGTTTCTTTTAGTTTTTGTTCCCTAATGACACCATTTGTATTTCCTGGAGAGGACATTATGAAAATATTCCCCAGTATTAAGGGTTATTAATATCCCTACTCTTTTGTTCCCAGCTGGGTCTGAGTGCAGGAACATCTCTAATGGAGGACTTTTCTTCTCAAGTACAGGCATCTCAAGTGTTCAGAATTTCTGATGTATAAGAATTTTTTATATTAATATCTACTTCAAATGTTATCACCCTTATCTTCAGGCAATTTCCTTGTCTACATGGAAATTTAGAATAATTTCCTTCCTCCATTACATTTTGTTCCTTGAAGGTATTTTATAATCGGAGTACATGTTCCTCTCTCTTTTGAGGTTTCCTTGTTTCAGGCAAAATATGTTAAGTCTCTCTAGCCTAACCCTCTGAATCTTATGTTATGCCACTTGTCTCTTGTGTATTCGTGGTGTGGAGATAAGAAAGGAACATCATATCTAAGTTGGAAAGCCAGGGATATAAACCAGGCTATAGTTTTCTTCATTCTATCCTGTGTCCAGTTTCTTTTTCTTTTTTTTTTTAAGTTTATTTATTTATTTTGAGAGACACAGGGACAGCGTGAACAGAGGAGGAATATAGAGAAAGGGAAAGAGAATCTCAAGCAGACTCCATGCTGTCAGCACAGAGCCCAATGCAGGACTCAAACTCATGAACTGTTTGATCATTACCTAAGCCAAAACCTGAGTCAGACACTTAACCACCTGAGCCACCCAGGCACCCCCACTGCATCTAACTTCTAAAATTCTTTTAATGTATGAATAAAAATTTGGAAATTTAGATGCAGTAAATGTTATAATAAATAGACCATTGAAATCTTATGTATGTGATTCAAACCTTCGTATAAAAACAGCCAAATCCCTACCTGTTAGACTTATTCTTGTTGTCCTTATAAATGTTTATTTGACCTGTTACTTGATATAACAAGGCCCATAAATGTCTCACAAGTCTTGTGTTACCCAAGAGAGATCTTCCATTTTAACTTTTTTACTTTACTATGTGTGCTTTTACTTCTTTTTCAAAGCCTCCATCTCTGTTTCTACTTGTATCATCACACTCCGATTTGAAATTTTAACATACCTCTTGGAAATATGTTTAATGTGGATTCATAAAAATTCACTTATTATTATTAAAGAAGAAAAAAACAAGAAAAAGCAGGTTTATTAGGTTGTTTAGATTATAGACAGTATAATAGTATGTACTCAGGCTAACGTAATTCTTAAACAGTTTTTAATTATTTATTAATTTCAGTGGTCCATAGGCTTGGTTTTTCTTATTATCTCACACATTTGATTTTTTAAAAGTAATTGTGCCCAGAAAGATTTTTTTGTAGATATAGGCAATATTATTCTAAAACTTTATGGAAAAGCAAAAAACTTAGAATAGTTAAAACAGTTGCAGAAACAAAATATAAGAATCATTATACCCAATATTAAGGCCTACTATATATTTACAGTAATCAAGTTGGAGTGCTATTAGATAATGGAAAGATACAGAGATAAATGGGACAGAATAGAGAATCCAGGAATTGATCCACACAAAATACCCAACTGATTTTTAACAAAATTGCAAAAGCAATTCAATGAAAAAATTAAACATTCACAGGCAAAAAATAATAATAATAATAAAACCTCAACCTAAATTTCATACCTTATACAAAAATTGGTTCAAATGATCATGGACTTACGTGTAATATGTAAAGCTATACAACTTTTGCAAACAAATTTTAAAAACATAAGGAAAAATCTTTGGGACCTAGAGCTAAGCAAAGAAGTCTTAGACTTGACTCCAAACACATGATTCCTAAAAGGAAAATCTACAGATTAGACTTAATCAGTAAAAAGCTACAAAGTGGGAGGAAAGATTTGCAAAATATACACCCAACAAAGGATAGTATCTAGAATATATAGGGGCACCTGAGTGGCTCAGTGGGTTAAGTGGCCAACTTCAGCTCAGGTCACGATCTTGCGGTTCGTGGGTTCAAGCCCTGAGTCAGGCTCTGTGGGGATAGCTCAAAGCCTGGAACCTGCTTCAGATTCTGTGTCTCCCTCTCTCTCTGCCCCTCCCTCACTTGCATTCTGTCTCTCTCTCAAAAATAAACATTAAAAGAACTTTTTTTTAAAAACTGGAATATATAAAGAACTCTCAAAACTCAACAATCAAAAATCCAACAACTCAATTAGAAAATGAGATAAAGACATGAAGAGCCATTTCATCTGAGAGGGTATAAAGATAACAACTAGGCACATTAAAAAATATTCAACACCATTAGTTATTAGCAAAATGCAAATTATTGGGGCACCTGGGTGGCTCAGTCGGTTGAGCATCCTACTTCAGCTCAGATCATGATCTCGCCGTTCGTGAGTTCAAGCCCCACATCAGCCTCACTGCTTCAAGCCCCACAGCAGTCTCACTGCTGTCAGCATGTCAGCACAGAGCTCACTTCAGATCCCCTGTCCCCCTCTCTCTGCCTGTCCCCCACTTGTACCCTCTAAAAAAATAAATAAATAATTTTTAAAGAAGAAAACTGCAAATTATAAACTCAGTAAAGCTACTACCACTCACCTATTAGAATGACTAAAGTTAAAAAATGGTGACAACATTAAATGCTGGTTAGGATGCAGAGAAACTGCATGACCTATATATTTCTGGTGGGAATATAAATGGTATGTAGCCATTCTGGCAAGCATTTTAGTAATTTCTTTTAAAACTATGCAGTCAGTGATTACACTCCTGGGCATTTACCTCAGAGCAATGAACACTTATGTTATATATACAGCAGCCTTTTTTGGAATAACCATAAAACTGGAAACAGCCCAGATGTCCTTCACCAGATAGATGACTAAACAAACTATGGCACATCCATACCATGGAATACTACTCAACAATAAAAAGGAACAAACTTCTGATATGTTCAGAAACCTGGAGGAATATCCAGAGAATTATTCTGAGTGAAAAAGGCCAATTCCAAAAAAACTACACACTTCATGATTCCATTTGATTCTTGAAATGGCAAAGTTATAGAAATGGAGATTTGATTACTGGTTGCCAGAAGTTAAGGAGGGAGTGTGTGGGAGGGAAGTAGATGTGATTATAAAAGGGCAACATGAGGGATGTTAGTGTGCTGGGAATGTGCCTTATCTTGACCCGAATCAACATCAAAATTCTGGTTGTGATATTGTACTTGTTTAGCAAGATGTTTTCATTGGGGAGAAAGTGGGAGAAAGCACACGATAAGCGTCTATTCTCAGGACAGCATGTGAATCTATAGTTATCTCAAAAAGTTTAATTTAAAAAAGTAATTGTGTTTGTTAGAAAATCAAAAAGATAAATTTAGAAAAATGAGAATGAGTTTCATGCAGATGTTCATTTTCTCTTATGCTTTCTTGGTTCCTCCCGTAAGGTTTGAGAGGAGCAATAGCATTTGCCTTAGCTATTCGGGACACAGAATCTCAGCCCAAACAAATGATGTTTACCACCACGCTGCTCCTTGTGTTCTTCACAGTCTGGGTATTTGGAGGAGGAACAACCCCCATGCTGACTTGGCTTCAGATCAGGTGAGTGGCTCCATTCAGCAAAGGATGTCACTACGAGGCACGGCTTCACTGTCTCATTTGTGGTTTTGCTGATTTGGTCAGGAGTACAATGGCAGGTCTGTATGTTAACTTTCCCTAGGGTAAAGTTGACTTTCATTCACAAGGTGAAACAGTCTGTCCTCTCCTAGACCTATTACCAACTGAACTGACTTTTCTAAGAGTCCTAGAATTCTGAGGGTGATGTCTGCTTACAGTCTGTCTCTAGAAAGGAATTTATTTATCTATGAATTCTTCCATTCAGCAGTATTTATTGAAGACAATGTAGTATTCTCTAGAGTACAAAAATGAGAAATACACAGGTCTTGTTCTCAAGATATTCACAATTCAATAGGATTTATACAGAAAAACTGTAATACCAAGGAGAAAGTATATTTGTTTTGTTTTTAATTCTTCAAAGCACTTAGGATAGAATTGGGGACACAGGAAATACTTAAATATATTTGATTAGTGAACCATATGTTTAGTCAGAGGGATCCTATGTAGACACAAATTAGATGGTTTCTCAAAGGAAAAGGCAATGAAGCTTCAGTCACAGACCCTCCAAGAAGTGCCTGGAAGAAGATCGCTATAAACCTAAAGTATATAGACAGTGGATGGGTAGTGGCATCCACTGATTTGTTGATAGTAGATAGTGGCATCCATTGATAGGTGAGGAGTCTGGAGGTCAGCTTAGGCCCAGCATCATTATGGCCTCCTGGGTGGCACAGCATGGGGTTGTCAGATCATGGAGATGACCCAGAGGGAATTAACTACAACTGATTCCAGGCCAGACTTGGCCACCATGAGGCGAGGGTTGGTTAAAGGCAGGGCTGTGATGTATTTAGGGAGCTGACAGGGCTCTGGTATAGTAGACAAGGTTGAAATTTGATTAAAATGAATAGCTTGTGCCAATTGTAAAAATGATAAATCTATTTTAAAATGTTATTGTCTTTATTTAAGTATATTTTTGACCTAGGTTCTGTTATATCCTGTCATATCCCAGGATGTAACAGTGCTTTAGGTAAATCACATTTTATTTCTCGATGCTGTATATCTTGATGATCATGCAACCCCTCCCTGGTCCTTACCCAGTCTCTATAAGGCAATTCCATACAGTCACATCTAATAGGAAAAGATCCATCTGACTATCAAATGACTTCCAAGAAGATTCTTTCAAAGATTCTTATTCTAACACCAATACAGTATTAAATAAATAATTGCTACATGAAACATTAAATGAATATAACCACAATGTAAATTACCTTTTGTTAGGCACTTACTGATAATTTTCTATCCATTTGACAAAGAGGAAGCAGAAACAGGACTCAGAGTTTTAGTACAAGAGAGCTTAGGCTTAAACTGGGCCAAGTGGCCATGCATTAAAACAAATTCAAGGAAATAAAAAACTTCTTGAAGTAAGTACTGTGACTATTGCTAAACACATAAAAGGGCTTTGACCAAAGGTGAATGGAGAGTGTTTTGAAATGCTTGTTGAATTATTTTCTAGGCATATAAATGTGACCTGCAATTTCCTTCACAGTAGTAGCTACCTGTAGGCTCCTATGGATGAGCACACATACTGCATTAAACTCTACAGCACTGGGTCCCCTGTGAACTGTTAGCAAGATAGTGGTGTGTTCAGGTTTCTAGAAAATAAATTTAAGTAAGTGGATCCAGGCATGGAAATATTAGGGCTTGGAAAAGAAAAGTTAGAGGATACTAATCTCCACAAGATAAAAGTATTAACTACCCCATCAGGTAAATTAGAATAATTAGAACATGAAGTAGTGATATCAACATTTTCCTAAAGTAATTCAAATGTAACTTATTTTCTAATGTTGTCTTTCTTTACCCTGAAGAAATCATCCCTAAATCAGGAGCATGTTTTATCCCTAAAGTGTTTACCTAACTCTCCTATAGTGTTTTCCAAAGGTATCCATTGATTTGAATAGATGTCATAGCTTATGCACTCTCTTGATATCCAGAACATCAGGGAGAGGGGAGTTTAATAATGGGTCTTTAGGCAGGTTAGAATGGTTACCGAGGTTATATACAACAGAGCCTCATAAGGAAGGATCCTGATGTCAACCATAGCATCCACAGGTGAGGGGTCTGGAGGTCAGCTTAAGCCAGCATTATTATGGCCTGCTGGGGGGCACAGCATGTGGTCAGATCATGGAGAAGCCCCAGAGGGAATTAGCTCCAAACGGCCCAATTCAAGGCCAGATTTGGCCACCGGCCAGGTGGAGAGGGTTCTAGGGAGGGCTGTGATGTATTTAGGGAAAGAAACTGGCAGGGCTTCAGTATAATAGGAAAGGTGGAAATCTCAGCTGGGAACTAGACTGTTAAATCTGGAATTGGCAGAAATCCAGCCAGAGAGATCAGAGATGCAGTCATGAGGAAATCAATGAAGGAAAACCGAAATTCATACATATGTGACTACCCAGGAAGTCAACCCAGGGACAGGATACAACAAGACCAAGATGAGACTCTCAAACTTGGGTGAGTATCAGAATCACCCAGAGGACTCATTAACCCCCAGATTTCTGACCTAATATGTCTGGACCAGGGCCTAAGAATTTGCATTTTACCATATTCTAGGCAATGCTAATGCTGCTGGTTCCAAGGTCACATCTTGAGAACCACTGGTTTAGACTTCCTAACCCCAAGTGAAGATGAGGCTGATAATAAATATTGCCAGATTTGACTGGGGTTGCCCAGGGCCAGGCACACCTAAGCCTTCAGTTTAAACTCTTTACACCTGTACTGGAGGAAGGCCGGGGCTAACTTGAGAAGGAAGAGTCACAGTGCATTGATTAGTGGGAGGGAAATAGAATATAATAGAATAAACATTAAAGAATAGGAACATAAGTTAATGCGTGTACAAATGGACACACAAGTATAACATAGATTTGGTTCAGTCATGTGTTAGTGATACCATCATCATACGCTTCACTTCCCTGTCATGATTTACAATGTTATCAAAGAAATCTTCAGTTCCATCATAGCTTTTAAATGATAGTGGTCCATTATTTAGACTGTATTTTTCAAAGCTTTGCTTGTTTACAGAGCAACGTCTCATTAACCAACTTTCGTGTCAGACTTTTTCCATAAAATACCAGAATGTAAGTAAATTGGAGCTTTGATAAAATGACAAGAATGGAAAGCCCAAGAAGCAGGAATGCAAATGTGATATTGAATACACTCAGACATCCTCATTTGGTATATAATGTATTTATACACTTCACATTACCTTTCTCTCTTGATTTCCTTTAATTCTACATCTTTTCTTTTAAATTATTAGGTATGTACTTGAGTTAGTTTTTACCCCTATAAAATTTTCCATTTAGCCTCAAACTACCACAGTAGGATGCAGATAAAATGTTTTATATCAGGTAACAATTGATAGTATTAATATGAATTGCACTTTGATGGAAATGACTTCGAAACAGCAAGGATCCTGTGCTTAGAGAAATTCAGAATGATCTTTATATATGAAACAAATTCTTCATAAAGTCTTGTCTTAAGCACATTCAAACTTCTTGTCCTAAAGCTATTTTATTTTCCGTTAAAAAACAATAAAATATTCTTAATGCAGTATTTGAAATAAATCACAGAACTTTGTTTCTCAAAATTCTAAAGAAAAAGAATAGACTCCTGCAGGATTATTTTGGAGGTTTCCATGTAAAAGAAAGAAGAATGGTTTCTTGACTAGAATCCAGATCTCCTCCTTTTTGCAGAATACATTAATATTGGTGGTGAAGAAAACCCAACCCTCAGACTCCAAGGATTAGCTTTGCTGTTAGCCAGGAAACAAAAGAGATCAAACGTATCAGGCTTTGCCCTACAGAAGCCAGTAAACAGGATTATCCACCAAATGACCACACATGTAGCTTACAAATAAAACCTCGGAGACCAACAGGGCAGAACTCTCTGGCAGTAGTAACTGTTTTGGGTTGGTAGCCCCATCCTAGGTTTAGGGTATGGCACTAACAAAGCACATGATAATGGAACCTATACCCCAGTGCAAACCTTTCCTGGGCTCCCCCCATATAGAAATGCTTCCAAATATCTCAACCACAGTACAGAAAGCTTTACACACCAGAGCAATACAGAACTTGTATTCCAGACAGCATTAGAAAGTGCCCTCAGCAAGGTGATTTCTACAGCTTCCAGATATTGGCTGCTAACATTCCAAACAATAATAGTCAGCTTTTATTGAGTACTTAATCTATGCCAGATACTATTTAACAAAATGCAAGTCATATAACCTCCCTGTGGCTCAGTTTTTGTTGTATAAAATGGGATAATAATAGTAGCTACCTCCGAGGGTGAGTAAGTCCTGGCAAACTGGCCTAGGGTTGGGCTGTTGGGTCGCAGAGCCAGACGCCAGGCCAGGCAGCCTAAGCCCAAGGCCTGTATGCTCAAGTAGCATATTCTTCTCTGGCCCTAAATAAATTAGCTTATTCCTGATGCCTGCAATCTGCCTTGATTAACAGGTCCTCTGGGGAAAAAGAGATGTGCTTTTATAACCAAGACAGGCCTGTTAAAAACAAACACAGGAAATCTTCATCCATCATGAGTGTGTTGACTTGCTTATGCAGCACAGAAATTTCTTGGTGCAGATTTTCTCTTTGACCTAGAACAGTTAAAGGTAAACAAGGTTAAACCCTGGTCCAAAGTAGCCAAGTGAGGAAGCTTGTCTTCCTCAACTATAGGAATTTGGAATTGTAGGAATTTGTCACCTATCTCCCAACCCCATCCAGGATCCCAAGTCAGCCTTTTGTCAGCCTCTTCCACATATCACACAAAAAATTAACACACTAACCTGTGTCCCTTGCAGAGTAAATAACAGCACAATGTCTCCACTATTATTATTTTTGTTAAAATTTTAACTTATATTTTTGGTTTATGACCCATCCCATTTTATGCCATGCTAGAATGCTTTCTTTATCATTTATACCCACTAACTATAAAATTTT